TGTTTCTTGCATAATCTTGATTACTCTACGATAAATCTTCTTCATACATTTGTTACCATTACTCAGAAAGTATACATTTCTTCTATGTTCATCAAATAAGCATGGTATGTTTGAAAAACAGAGAAATATTCGTGCATCGTTCATTTAAAAAATATGAATATAATAATGAACGTTTTTATTAAAAGATAAATATATCATCGTAGTAATTTATTTTATATAAAACAAAGGTGAAACGATAGATTTCGTGAAATACAAAATAAATAAACAACTGAATATTTTCTTTGTACATTATGTTCAGAAGAGATTCGGATTGTTTTTTAGTTGATAATTAACTTTCTCTCTCGAACGTACCATCACTTATTGCATTTTCTTTGGTGCATTCACATGTTAGTACATTTAGTGGCATAAACATTATACGTACTCGTTATATTTAGTGATTATATCTGCAGGGTAAGAAATAAGGGTTGAAATAAGCTTATTTCTCGTGAAAACAGACAAGTCTTAATTATTTAATGTATCTTTTTTTTTTAATTTATTTGACTTCTCAGTATTTTATAAATTTATCGGGCAGAAATTTTAAAAGATCGAGTAGTATATACAATAGTTATTATCTCATGAGTGGGAATTATTACATGCAGAATTTTAGCAGGGTACATAGCAGTATTCGAACGAGTATTTTATCCACGTTTACTCATTTTTTTCTGTGGAAAATATTGATATTAATTACGATGGTGCACCATGCATTCTGTATGTTTTAAAACTATGAGAAATTCGCTTATTTCGAATCGCGGAAAGTAGTGAATTTTCGTAGCAGATTTTAGAATTAATTGAGACGATGTTCACGTTTAAAAACGAACAATTTTTATGCCATAAGTAAACTCACGCGTTACATTTGCAGTTGGTGTCATATTTATTTATTAAATTTTTCTATTATCGATAAACTTAAGTAAAGCTAAGGCGAGCGCGTAATAAATTTATACAAAGACTTATTGTACGTAAGTTTAGTATGATTTATGATACACATCAATGTGTGTGTGGGACTAAATCTTCTTCAAATTGGTCGCAGAAATGTTGGGACAGCTTTGTGGGACACTTTGTGAGACTTTATGGGACAGCTCAACTGTTTTAAAAAGTGTTTAGTAAACGTTTTCTTTCCGAACATTTGTTCAACTTTCTTGAACAACAATTTCAATCATTTTTCGGATGGCTTGTTCGACTTTTAGGATCCTTTACGATCCAGTTTAAAATTAACTCTAATCTATCATAATGTCGATAGATTCTCTGCTGTTTCAATAGATGCAGTTTCCCATTAATTTATAATTGAACAAACTTTTCCCGACACTCTGCGTACGTATATTGTAAATCTTCAATGTCAAATGTAATTTCCTGCTATAAGAAAGGAAATTGTTTAAGTGTCTCTGATATTTTTATATTTTACGATAATTCTAAAATTACACCTCGTATAAATACTCATATTTATAGCAGTATATTTTTTAAATACATAAATTCGGGAGTATACAAATAAATATTTTAAAAGAATATTTAGCGGAGAATACGAGAAAGCATTGAAGTAGTGAACAAATTGAATATACCTTGACACGTTAGACAAAGGTCTGTAAAATTGTACAAAAATATTTTCTACGTATCTTTGTCACGAGGAATGAAACGTTAATATATTTAAACTTAGCAGTCGTTTCGTTTCGTTTTGTTTTTTTTTGTACATCACACGGATGATTTTGTAAGTTAAAGATAAATATTTTTATATGCTTTTATCCTCTTAGTACTGTTCAGTGAAAATAGTAGAAAGTCTAGTTGAAAAAGGACTTGAACTTCATTGAGAAAAGGACTTGCTACTCCTAGCAAACGGTTTCTGTCATTTCTGTGTCGATTCTGGCGTCAATATAAATATAAAATATTTAAAAGCGATTTATTATATCTCAGCCAGGAGTAGTGCCACTGAATGCGTAAAGATTAATTTGACACATTTAAATAGTTTTGTCACAAAAAGTGTTCCCTAATGATAAATAGCTACACGAACAAACGAATATTTTCAGAATAAGAAACACAGCCTACAATTGCAGCAGTCAAGGCTTATAAATTCATGAAAAAAATTAAACGGAGAAGCTCATCTGCAAGTCTCGTGCTATTCAATGAAAGTGATGCTGAGAGAGATTTTATCGAATATTAAATATTGTGGAATCAGGGGAATAAAAACATTACGCTCTCTCTCTCTCTCTCTCTCTCTCTCTCTCTCTCTCTCTCTCTCTCTCAAGATAGCAATCGCAGAACACAGAAACCATATTCGTTTCTTCTCGAGACTCATTAATTTATCTCGGATGATTCGTCAGGGATTGAACGGTTTTCTATTTAGGATTAATTAATCGAAAATATTTTCGCGAAGGGTTTTACAATTAGCTTGGCGAAGATAAGTCCAACTAACGAGCTCGTTCGAGTTGTACAGATAGGAAAATCTTTAGGGACCAAGTGGATCATTTTCTTAGAGATGAACAATGTCCCACAAATAGTGTGCGCAATGCATTTAATTGTATCAATCCTTCAGATAAATTAAAACAAAAAGAAAAACACGAAATTCAATAATTTTGAATTGAATGAGATTGTTTAATAGAAAAATGAATAGCAGGATTCTCTCCTGCATGTATAATCTTGAAATCATTTTCTTTTTACATGGTGGATGTTTTTCATTAGAGTAAAGAAATGATAGCGTAGTTCCTGCGAAATGAAAATTCGTTGATCACAGAGTTTACTTTAAACGCGTGCAATTATCTGACGTAAAAATGATTACTGGCTGTTAGAAGAATAAACTTGATTGTGTGCAATCACTATTGTGAGCCATTGTGTCTGCAGCGCTAAGCATTTTACCTCGTATCGAGTATAATAAGCCACTGGAAACGCAGAATACAATTCTGTCTTTTTTTTTTCTATTTTATTTCTCGTTTAAGTATTAGTAACGTTATGAATGTTCACGTTCATATTCAGTCACAGGCAAGTTGAAATATTATTTTTTCGAACTAGCATAAACGCAACAGCAACTGTGTTCTGATATAGAAATATAATTATTTAATTGTTACCGGTAGCGTGTATATCGAGACGGGAAAATACAATGTACAAAGAAACATGATCCCCGCGATCTTGCTGATACAACGTGCTTAAACGAGTTCGAGATATACATACATACAGTGAAAGATATTAGAATGTAGTTATTTAAGCAAAGTACACCAGTGAAGAATGAATTGTAAATAATGGCTTACACAGTAGTCCTTAGGAATAGAATCTTAATTTATATAATTTAGTTCGGAACGAAGATTTGTACATTTTCGAGCATTATTTGAATTCTCTTTTGATTTGTACGGGATCTCTTTGATGATCGTGGAATATATTGTGGAAATCCGAGAATGGCTGAATCTTTGATCCGATCTACGATGGATGTGTACCGTGTATTTAAATAGTATTATTATGCAAGGTATTCACATTATTGCATCCTTCTCATTATAACTATACTTTGTACGACGTTTAGAATTAATATATTACCGATTTCTACACGATTATAAAAGTGGTACGTTTAAAACTATTCATAATTATTCCAAGCCTGAAGGGGGGCAGGATTCGAAAAATGCGAACTGATAAATGCGGAATAATAAAAATTGTTATTCTACCAACAGACTCTCCACTCTCATTCGAACAATTTTATTTATTTAGCACGATTTAATCATTGTTTTATTGCTTTTCAGTGAATTCGACTAGTGTTTGCATGCGTGAATGTAAAAAACAAAAAACGCATGGAACCATATTTCTGCGCCAAGAAAAATCAGATCTACCTCTGTACACGTGTACAGGTAACCCCCATATAACATATGGCGTTATGTTCAAGTCAATTATCAGTTAACGATAGGCAACAAGAGGCAACAATGATATAGTAATTGCGTTTCCTTTGGAATCTGTTCAATGTAGTCGCCATAAAATATTTAACGAGTCCTCAAAAAATTGTATATAGAACAAGCGTAGAAAAGTTTTTACGATGTGAAAAGCTAAATACCAAAGAAAATGTGAAAATCATGTTGCGAAGAAAAAGTGGCTGGTAGTTCATTTGAGCAGTTGGGGTTCGTACAGGGTGAAAACTGTAGGAGTATGGGGGTTGCCTGTACGCTGACTTGTATTAATCGGATCTATTGTTGTTTATAGCGATAGTTAAATGAGACGGTTTCCAAGGAGTGGAAAATTAAATGATACTTGTGGACATGTGCAGATGAGTTATTGACGTTTGTATGTTGGGGACAGGTGCGGCAGCGGCAGCTGCGAAACAGCGTAGGCACCTGGGTCAGATTCGCGAGCACCCTTATCAAAGGGCTGGTGCTTTGTCGTGAATTCGGAGAGCGCAATCACTATACCTGTACGCGCCTCCGCACAGAGGTCAGTTTTCTATAACCATTCAACATTTTCATTTTTTACAGAGACACTCGGCTGACCGGTAGCTACCGCGCGCCCTTTGTCGCAGGGGTTGCAAACGGAATAACGAAAATCTTCGGTTAAACTGTGCGAGTACGGAAAGTCTGCGTCAAAGATCTAATTATAACAGCGTTTCGGTTCTTATAAATGGATCGCGGATGTTTATGCATTTCTGGCACCGAGAAACGCAAGAGACCAAAAATTCTAATAGCAGTTAGCCTATTACATGTGTTAAATTGTTATTAAAATTTCGAGACTGTTTTTCTTGTTCATGAATTGCTGGCTAAAATTAGGGATTTGCGTAAACATACGTAGTCTAGTTACCAGAGCTGAAACAGTGTTATAATTAGATCGCGGGTCTCGTGCATTCCGCAAAGTCATTTCTATTTTTCTTCCGCATTTTGCAGAAAGATATATCGTTTATTAATTTTTCTTTTATCGCGGCACAGCCTCCGTGCAATTCATTAAGAATTTTCCAATGGGTAATGCAATACATGATTGCTTATGATTTTCTGAACCGTTTCAACCCTTGTTCTATTCGAAAACATCTTCCTTTTGAGATATTTAAACATTTGATTTCCCATTCGCGCTTCGAGAACGATGGTTCGACTTGAAAGGATGAGAAACAACCATAATTTACTTCTCTTCTTTACAGATGAATATATGTATATTGCTTTTCCATATGCAAACTATATGGGACAAAGGAATATGTGTATATTTAAATGTAACACTTAAAAATTTCAGTATTGTGTTCACTCCCCGCAATTAGGTGCATCGAAAGTGCATACACACGGTCTTTTACGGCTACGTTTTCTCTTCGTTGGTAGTCAGAGAGTTCTCTTTTCGAATGATCATATTGAAAACGTGAGCTTTTGCAGCAAGATCAAGGTACGGGTGCGCACCTACCTAATTTCGACACGACTCTATATATGTATAGTCTCTCAATTATACAACAATTATCAAGAGTCTCGCTTTGCATAACAGAGCTTTTCCAACAATGTTTATAAATTGGAAAAGTCGAAACATAATTTTGTATGCAACGTGTATAAATCCAACAAAATGAAAACAGAGTAAAAAAAATCCATAAAACGAGGTATTTAAAATGCTGGAAGATTCGAGCATCTAGAATCCAGATAAATGAAAGAAATTCGTTTAGGATGAAAATTCGTGTTTTCCCGTGCAGCATAATGCTCTCTCTCTCTCTCTCTCTCTCATTCTCTCTCTCCCTCGAGGGAATTGCATTCGCAGAATTTCTTTTTTAGCAACTTGTGCCTGTGGAACACGTATTTAATTAATTTGCCTTTTTTATGCGTGTGATGTATGCGCGCGTGCGTGATGTATACATATATATCTACTTTAAATAAATGCACCTATTGAAGCATTGACAACAAGTGTTTTTTTTATTTCAAATGAAAAGGTAAACAGGGGTGGTACAGTAATACGATGCGAAGGTTCGAAACAGTGTGTATACATATATATATTTTATTTTATATATTATATATATATGTGCACGGATCTTTCAACAGAATGATTTCCAAACTTCGGATGTCTCTCTTCCATGTGTATCCAGGATTATCATTAGCATAACTCGAAGTACAGTATTAATTTGTCTAAAAAAAACAAAACAAAAAAAATAGTAAAAGAGTAAAACAACTATACCCAGAATTCACATGCATATCGTAATTCAGTTGTGGCTTTCTTCTCAGTATCCATGGAGAGATTAATCAACTAATTTTAATCGTAATTAAAAACATTTCTCTGATCGTTCCGTATGATTTTTCAGGAATTTTTTCACTTTGTTTGTAATGTTCGCTTCTTTTCACCCAGTAACACAACGTGTTCAAGTTCAAAAAGAGAAAAAGAAAATCGAGAAAAGTATTTATAAAAATCGTTCCTGAAGTTTCATCCTGTCCTTCTTTATGTATCACCACTAACAATTACCACACACACATAATTTATATAATTGACGCCTTTGTTAAACACGCATTTTATTATTTTTTTTTTACTTATTGTATAACTTACGTACCTATTGTATTTATTATATAACTATGCATTGTCTTTACGAAACTAACAAAAATGCTCCACATGGCCAAGTTGACACTAACTTTAACGTTTCTATATATTTATATATATATATATATTATACATATATATATATTGTACACTATATTT